CCCAGTCTTCTAGCTTAGGGAGTTGGATTCCTTCTATGTAACTGTCCCTGTTGATAAAGACTGAGGCAAAGAAGTCATTAAGTACTTCAGCCTTTTCCTCACCTGATGTCACTAGTCATCCGCTCGCATCTAACAGGGGCTGGAGGCTCTCCTTGACCTTTCGTTTCTAATATATTTATAGAAACTTTTCTTAACCACAGAGACCAGACGAACTCAGGTCGGGCTTTGGATCTTCTAATTTTTTCCTACACAGCCTCACAATGTTTTTGTAGTTGTCGTGAGTTGTCTGCCCTTTTTTCCAAAGACCAGAAATCCTCTTTCTCTCCCTGAGTGCCAGTCAAAGCTCCCTGTTAAGCCAGGCAGGTCGTCCAAGCCTCCAGCTGGATTTACGGCTAACAAGACTGTGATCAAGACTCTAGAAGTGTGGGTAAAGTAGGGAATACTCAAACTTAATTCCCCTGTATTCAGCACTGGTGAGGCCACACCTTAAATGCTGTGCTTAATTTTGGGCCTCTCACTACAAGAAAGACATTGAGGTTCTGTAGTATATCAGATGAAGAGCAACAAAGCTGGAACTCAAGAATGAGTCTTATGATGAGTGGCTGAGGGAACTGGGGTCATTTAGCGTGGAGAAAAGGATGCTCAGGTGAGACCTTATCACTGTCTACAAGGAGGTTGTAGTGAGGTGTCAGTCTCTTCTCCCATGTAACAAGTGATAGGACAAGAAGAACTGACTTCAAGTTGAGCCAGGGGAGGTTAGATTGGACATTAGGTAAAATGTCTTCACAGAAAGTGTTATCAAGCACTGGAACAGGCTGCTCAGGGAAGCGGTGGAGTCACCATCCCTGGAGGTATTTAAAAGACATGTATATGAGGTGCTTAGGAAAATGGTTTAGTGGTGGACTTTAGTCACTATGGTAATGGTTGAATACTAAGATGTTAAAGGTATTTTCCAACTTAAATGATTCCTTGATTCTATAAGTTTGGTCATATAACTTATGCATCAAAATAATGGTGTAAACCTCCCAAAGAGATACATAAGAACAAACAAGTGCTCCAAATCATCCTCATCACTCTCTCCATACACAACAGCCTATTCTCCTAAATTCAGCCCTAAGTATCTTCAGTGTCTGTGCTATCTGCAATTTCTTTCTACGTGCTAAATTTTAAAATTGTCTCCCAACTCTATTCCCAAAATATTCACAGTCACTTGGGCATAATCCTGTTTTTCATACTTAAACCTGTTCTTGGCTGGTTATCATGGTAGTGTGTTGGCTCGGTCCCCATGTGTTGCCTGGTCTAGTCTAGAGGTGGCTTTCAAATACCAAACTTCACCACAGAAATCACAGCTTTTCTCTCTAGAAACTATCACCTTCTGGAATTTATTTTTTAACTCAAGTCTAGTTGTCTAGTTTTTGCAGATGCAGTCCAGCAATTCTGTTAAATATCCTCCAGCAAGAGCTCTTTTTTCCAGCTCCCTCGCTTCTCTTTAGAAAAAAAAATCTGATTTATTTTTAAAACATGAACATGGATGTCAGAACAAATATTAATGTTTGAAGTCATCTTTAGTGACTTCATCTAGCTTACAAAAATAAATAAAAACTAGAATTGTATCTCTAGGATACAAGAAGTATCATGCAGTTCCACAGGGAAATTAAATCAACTCTGTTGACAAATACAAGTTGTAAACACAACCTGGAGTCAAGAAGTTCATTTGTTAGCTGCTTCTGAATTGCCATTTACAGAAAACTTATATTCTCAATTTTGAACCACTGGCTTATGTGTAAGAAAAAAAATAATTAAATTGCATTGCACAGAAATACCAAATTCAAACTTTGTCCTACAATAGCTTCATCAGCCACTGGAATTGAGCTCCAAATGTTTTCTTTACAGTTCTACAGAACTAGCATAAATAATGCCCTTTTTTTTTTTTTTTGCTCAAAATATAAGCTATATTTGAAGTACTGCAAAGAAAAAACAAAAATCTCACTTGAATAAATGGTACAATGCCATCTCTTGCAATGGCCTGCAACAAACGGGGTGCACCAGTGAGACTCTGGAGACCGGCACCGCATGTTGAAAAGAATGAACCAATCACAATAACCCACGGAGAAGGCCAGGCCAGTGTGCCAACCACTAAATTTCCATTAACTGCTTCTCCAAACCTTAGTAAAGAGGAAAAAAAAAAAAAAAAGAGGAAATAATCAGCAAGCATATTTTACTATAGTTTCAACAACCACATTTCAACCTTTTTGGACAACAGAACTATTCAACAATAAACAGTATACACTATAGGATTTCCCAACCAACAAAATTCTATTTATCCTGCTATTTTAAAGAAAACATAATTGATTCATTATAAAAGCTGCCTCTAGGTAGACATGCAGCAATTATCAAGTATCTTGGCAAACTTTACAGAATTAACAGCAATAGCAAAAGTATTTACATATGTATCCTTTAGATCCTTGTGACTGCTGGGAACTGGATTGCGGAATTCTGTTCTACAAGTAATACAGGTATATTCTGGGGCATAAGCAGGAGATTTGCAAAACAAAGTTATTAGCCTTTCCTTTTATTAGTGTGACACTAACAAAAGCACAAATAAATAGAGAAACTACTGGACAAAACCATATCAAGTTATCCACAGGCCTTCTGACTGTCATGCTACCTGATGTAATTTTTAAATGATTATGGTAAACAAGCTGGTGGCAGTCAAAAGGTGCTTTCATTAGTCTTGAGGTTTCCAACTGAAGCCACTGTTTGGGATTTTTGCTTGTTTGTTTTTCAGATAATTTGTGTTCATTTTTTGTTGGTAAACTACAAAAAAGTTCTTTTCCCTCTACCCCTTCTCAAACTCATGTTTTCCTTTTAAAAGCAAGTAAACTTGTAGCCTGTCTTAGTTTTGTTAGTAAGCAGCCAAAATAAAATTTTAAGACTATGTACACTGATATTTTTCCCCATTTTTTCCCAGGTTTTTCAAAATAAACACTAGAGAAAATAAAAAGCTACTAAAACCAAAATCATCTCTTTTCAGATCCGCTCTTAAATAGGGTCAAGAAAAAAAGAAAACACAGTATATGAGTGTTCAAATTCTTGTCTATGCCCAAGCTTGGATGCATAGATACATACTACTTTCAGCAGAGGGTAAAAGGGGAAAACATACTCTTTAAAAATACAAGATCAAAAATACAGTATTCTTCTATGATGAGAATTCTACACCTACACATTCATTTTTAATTTAAACTCTAATGCTTGTGTTTTAACTAAACAGAGGGTAGGAAAAACTTGAAAATATGAAGGACACTCAAAGATGTGCAACCTGCTTTTTCCCATGGCATCATTCATTTACTGTTTCGTATGTATCAGCATTATTTGGTTTGTAAACTTGCTTTAAAAAAAAACAAACCTGAGATTTTCACTAATGCAGCAATACCATTTTAAGCTAAAAATGATTTCCTGCTATTTCTTGTATTAGTTTTGAATAGAATCCAGGTTTTAACTTATGGTTTTCTTTCTAGGTTAAAAGATCGTGTTTTAAAAGAAGTTGTCTCTACACCATCTCCACCACCTTTCACAGAATACCCCAATGCCTCTGCTTCATCACCAAAGGCAAACTTGGGCCTTGGCGGGTAAAAAAAAAAAAAAAGGAAAAAAAAAAAAGAGAACCAGACACCAGCAAAGAAACTAATGTGAAACCTGCCAACAGATTCATCTTAGTCAACTTTTAAGGGAGAGATTTAGCAAAATCTAGAGATTCTTTTTTTTCTGCTTATCTCCATTACATTTATTCTCTTCATGCTTCATACCGTGTCTCAGATATCCTCTGGAAACTGCACAGGTGAAAACTGACACAATTCCCTGATCTACAACTGATCTTTTAAAACAAAAATATACTTCCAGTGGAAATTATAGGCCTGATGGTACATTGCAGTCTCTCTCAGTAATGCTCTTTGTCATGTAACTGTCAAAAATATTTTTTGTATTTACTCCTCATAAGCATGTTACTTCTCCCAAAGTAATATCACTCCTGTTACACACACCCATCAACTCCATAAATACCAAACTATGATTTTCTTTCTCAATAACATTTTATTAGGAACAGTTCCACTTCAAACATTTATCTTAGCTTCTGCTTCTACTTATTGAAGCGATACAGCCTGATAACCTGACCAGTTTTTGTAGACATCTCAGTTTAAGAGATAAACTTTCCCTCCAGTTTTAACCTAAGTAAAAGAAAAATACTTCACACAGGTATTTCCAAGAGGCATTAGTAAGTCCTATTAACACAATCCACAATCATATATACTCCCTGTAAAATCAGAAGTTGAATATGACTTACTTATCTCTTAATATCACACCTTCTATGCAGGCACCAAACAACACTATACAGGAGAGATCTATTACTGAGACTGAAGGAAGATTATGCTATCATAGAGAGAAAATACAACATTTTTCTCCTAGGGGTGAAATTAAAGTGTCCATGATAACGAAGTGTGGGAGGTGTGTGTTGTTTTGTTTGTTCTAGGGGTTGGTGTTTTTTGTTTTTTGTTTTTTTTTAATTTTCCTCTGCTACAACTTTTTAGCTTCTGTTCTCTATAACTGTATTTAATGTACTGATTTATGAAGTATTGAAAACAGCCAGTTCATAGGTATTTTTTCATACAGATAAGCATTTGTGTCTTCTAGCTACTGAAGGACTAAGAGTTTCTACTGCCAGCTGAAGCATGACACTAAAGACCTCTACATCGTCTAACTAAAAACATCAGCTACATCTTGGAATTTCAAACCCTAGTAGAATACAGAATATATATGCAAATAAAATGAGATGTTGATATTTTAGAGAAGTATTTATTTTTCAGTTTAGATTTCATTCATTTTATAGTTAGAAAACTCTGACGACTATTCAATGAACAAAAAGTCACAGCATAAAGGATACAAATAAAAGATGTAGTTGAAATAGCCAAAATTGTTCCAGTAGGAATAGATTTCTGAGCATCCTTAAGATCTCCGGATCTGTTTGAACCTGCCATAATACCTTAAAGAGAGACCAAATGTATATGTCATCTAAACAATTAATACAACCTCCATGTAAATAACTAATAGAATAGGAACATTTAACTTTAAACCTGATTTACCACATCATTACTAATGGAGCAGGCTACAGAAATATTATAATATATTATAATCCTGCACAAATCCTTAATTTATACCTTCAGTTTATTCAGAAACTTGGGTTACCACCCATTGTTGACGAACAACTTCCAGAAAGCTCAGGAAAGAGGCAGATTTTAAAAAATCGAAGTTACTTTTCAAATATAACTTTAGAATTATTTTTTTAAATGGGGAAACATAGAGGAGTTGAAAAACGTTAGGGATGGACGTTATAAACAAATGAGGATTTAGTAATTTTATCCAGTACGACCAAATACACTAACTTTCTACTAAACAGTTCATACATAGTCAGATATTCAAACAAATCAATAAACTAAATAAAAACATAAAAAACCAGAAAGGAACAGGCAAGAAGTACAAGAATAGTTATAAAATCACATGTACACATTCCTGTTTAAATTTAAGAGATCAAAAATATTTTATAGCACATACTAGGATGGGAGGAAAAAGAAGTCATAAAATAACTGACTAATTCTGCCCTCTTTCCTAGAATTGCCTTGACCACTGTTGGAGGCAAAACCACGGAAACTATCATCAAGATGTTCCAGTGCAAATGCATTGTCAAACTATGCACTGAAACCTTAACCACAGGCTCAGATATGAAGAGATACTGAAAAAAGAGCCTGAAGTAGAGAAATAGCAACAGTGGGAGATAAGAATACAAAAAGACACCTTTGCTTGGTATTCTACTAGTAAACACTACTGCAACTTTTTATCAGAGTTCTGTTTTCATAAAATCATAGAACGGCCTAGGCTGGAAGTGACCTTAGAGATAATTTAATCAACCTTCCTGTCAAGGGCAGGGACGCCACCTCTCGACTAGATCAGGCAACACATGGGGACTGAATGGGAATCAAACCCACGACCTTGGTGTTATCAGCACCATGTTCAACCGACTGAGCTAACCATCCCCCTGATTTTGTTACTTGCTATTACAATTGCTTGAGCTGGGACTTTTGAAGAAAAACGTCTCTGGTTATTTCAGTCCAATGTGACCTGAGCAAAGTGATATACAGCTAATTTAACCTTAAGTTTAACAAAAAGGTCTCTACTAGTTACAGTTGCAAACCCAAATATTAGATATTTAAACAAATCACAGGTGGTTGACAGCTTGAATACCTGAAACAAACTTAATATTCAACTGTTCTCTCATGCACTTAAAGATTAAATTACTGTAGAGGTATGCATCTTATTTTTTACAAACACTTTGAGTTTTTTTTTTCCAAACACATGGAGCTTTTTTTTTTTTCCAGACATAAAAAATAGCACTTAAACTGATACCTTGTTTAAGTCCTATAAACCCCTAAAATACCTAGCATCAGAAAGTTTCAGGTACATAAAACCTGGACAAAGAGACTAGCAATGTCATGTGTCAAAAATAAACATTCACACACAAAATAATCTTTCTTCGGCTATAATTACACAAGTTGTATCTACCTGTCACAGATGGGAAATAAATCCCCACAAGCATTGTGAAGTAGGTCATGATGTCTGTAAAAACATAAGGGAGTCCACCCATTTTTATTTCTTCTGATCCAACAACTGATGGCTGATCTTTTTTCTCAACTATTGATCCTTCTTCTGAATAGGTACTCCACAGATTATCTACAAGGGGAAAAAAACAGCCAGTGTCATTTCTCTGTTTCAGCATATTGAGTTGTGAGAATGCAGTAATGTTATGAATTAAAGGCCTTTCTTACACAAAATCATGTTTCTCAACATTTCCTTATAAAGTCAAGAATGCAGCAGCAATATAATCAATACCAATCCTAATTGGGACATTCCATTGTGACATACCAAAGCCATAAAAAGAATAGTCAAGGAAATAAGAGGATTTAAGTTTCAAGAATTTTAGATTTGAGGAATGACATAAAACAAGGCAAGATCTCCAAATTAGCTTCCACTACCTATGGAACATAAAAAGAAAAAAAATCAGTTTGCCATTACTAATCAAAAGCACTAAATACTTAATGAGTACTCAATGGCCTGTGTCCTTTATTCAGCATGACACAGAAGTGAAAATGGCCTGAGCTCTTCAATGAACACAACTCTGACTGTGGAAGTGCAGCATGAGTAAAATCAGCTTAGAGACTTTATAAAATAGAAATCACCTTGCCCTTTCTTAAGAAAGCTCTCCGCAGACTCTCAATCATTGACAGAGATCTTAAGATTATGTGGAAGTAAAATAGGGAAATGAACTTTTATACAATAGTGCTATTGTAAAGAAATGTTAAGTGAACAAAACCCAAGCACATTTTTCCGAGAGAAGAAAAAGTAATACTCAGTCTGAAACAAAAGGCAAACCAGCAGTTTAAAGCTTACACTGTAGTAAAAACTAGAACATACAGTTGTCTTCTAAGCAGGGGCAGGAAACAAAACTATTCAGAAAATAGCAGATATGTGTGGTAAATTTAAAAATACATAGAACAAACACTAAGTCACATTTCTTGCAACAATCATTTCAAGTGAAAATAATTTAATTTTCATTGTTTAAAAAAAATCACTCAATTTCTTCATACAAATTTAGATTCAGAGAAGCCTATACTTCATTCATACACTTTATATTTGGTGTTACTAAACTTAATTACTATGGCAGTAGTGATTGCCTAGTTTCCCTATGTAGAGTTGCATATTTACATAAATCAAACCTTACTTTAAGGGGGAAGCAGGAGAGAGATATCAGAACATTAGTTTAATCTCCTGAAATATTGCTTGTTTGTATACAGTACAAACCATTACATGTTCAAAATTAATCTTATGACCCAGTGCAATTGGAACACCAAGCTGCCGCAATGTACAGGAATGTAAACAGAAGAAAACCTATACACTTTGTAGAACATCTCCAGTACAAATGCCTGACTGGAAGCTAAAAAAATGACTGCTTCTCTCAGACTCCATCACTAACTTGCTGTATTTGCTTTGGACAAGCCATAGGACTTGACTTCTCAGTGCACCACCTGTAAATTGGAAACAAGTTCTCCCTAAGGAAAGTTAGAGAACACGTTAACAAACAGCTTACCGAAATAAGTGTACTCATCACCGAAAACCAAAACAGTCTTTAAAAACGTTAGCTGTGATAAACACTTTCCTACTTTTCTTGATAGAACAATGGCTTTTGAAGGAATGCTCATCAAATGATCCCCAAATTAAAACATTTAATACTAAGCTTCTAAAACCGGATGGAAACTTCATTGGAGGAAGCATACTCCAATCTATCATGCAAACAGATTACAGCTACAGAAGCAGTGACACGCTACACTACTGCATTACTGAACAGCTACAGGCCAAATTAATAACATACACCACTTTTTAAATCACTGTGCTTTCCAACTTACCAATTAGAACTCCACTCATTATGCCTGGAATCCCTTGAATTTCTGTTACATTATTGAGATTAAAGTAGTCATCACATGTAGCATTAAGCAAAGAACTATCACAGAATAGGCGCCACAAAGTCGTAGTCTTTGTTTCATTATTGCTTTCAGTAAATTTGGCACAGATATCAAAGCTGCGTTTTGACAATGTACGGTTTCCAAGGAGACAGATACTATAAATAAAAAATGAAAACGGTTGTACATTAAACCATATTCTTTCCACTGGACTTCTTCAGAAACTTATTTATAGTACCTATCTTATGGCTTATATTACAACTACTAAAACAGTGTATGTTTTCTGCATATAAAACTATCATCAATAATCTCTATAACACTTATCAAACACTTCTACTTTAAGATATTAATATGTATTTTGCCTTCTGATTTAATCTTTGGTAAATAAAATTGACTTGAGCAGCTTGGCCACTAAATGACAGACCATGATTCATTTAATCCTATAAGAAAGAAGTGAAATGAAGTAATACTTAATATACTTAACATAATGATGAGTCTGATCAAGGAAATACAAAACTAAGACTGAGTATGTCATGCCCTTTTCTAAGAAATATTTTAGATGGCCCTCAAAAATATTCCAATCTCAAAAGGTTCAAAATAAGTCAGAATGGTTAAACAGAAAAATTTTAAAACATTTATGTGAGAACAAATTAAACAATCACATAGAAGGAAAAAAATCAAAATAGTCAGAAACTAAAGAAAATTATAGAACTTAGAACAATTTGCAAAAATCAAATTAACAGCAAAGATTAATAAGAATTTAGGAACATTTCTTTGTTAAGCTACACGAAAGATGCTTAGGAGATATCTATTCCAGGCTTTCTTAATAATAAAATTATATGTATCTATGAAGACAAAAGAAGGAACATCAAATAAAACATCAGTGTTAGGCAGATAAGTCAAAGAACACACAGTATACATCATTAGCTTCTGAAGGAGCTCAGTTAAGAAGCTGATAAACAATACAAACCTACCACTTGGCATTAGAACAAGTACACTAAGCCAAGCAGAATATTCACCTGGTGTAACATCCTGTTTCTGACAGCAGTTAAGAGTAGATGACTTTAAAAGAATGCAGGGCACCAGTACAGCTTCACATGGAAGTATCAGCATCACATGGAAGTTAAGCTGATTTAACAGAAAGCCGCTAAAAAAAAATATTATTATCTTGCCGCTCACCTTGCTTATTTTTCTTTTCAGTTGCTACTATTAACTGGTACTATTTTACAATCTATACAATTGGCCAAACCTAACAGAGGTTAGCTATATGCCAGCCTAACTAACCAAATAAGTGGAAGCTAGATATTTTGGTGACTAGATTACCACCAGATCAGCTTTATCAGAATATAAAAACACATTTGAGTTTCTCATTTTGAGGCAGACTGGTCAAAATACGAACAATTATATACATTGAAGAGATTTTTTTTTCCCCCCCACCAAACAGTAATATATCATAGTAACAGCCACAGATAAGGTTTCCAGGAACTTGGTAATAAGTCTTCCCTACGCTACATATCCAGATCACAGAATCATATAACAGTTTTGGTTAGATCTTCAAGATCAAGTTCAACCTTCTCCTAGCCCCATTAACACCACTAAACCATGTCCCTCAGCACAACATCTACCAGTCTCTTAAACACCTCCAGAGATGCTGACTCAACCACTTTCCTGTGCAGGTTGTTCCAATGCCTGACAACTCCTTCAGTAAAAAAATTCTTCCTAATATTCAACCTGAACCTCCCCTGGCACAACTTAAGGTCCTTTCCCTTTGTGCTATCACTCACCACTAGGGAGAACAGATCAACTCCCACCTCACTACCATCTCCTTTCAGGCAGCTGTAGAGAGTGATAAGGTCTCCTTCCTTCAGTCTCTTCTTCTCCAGTCTAAACAGCCCCATATCCCTCAACCGTTCCTCATATGACACATGCTCCAAATCTACTAGCTTGGTAGCCTGCCTCTGTACTGTCGCCAGCACTTCAATGTCCCTCTTGTAGTGACAAGTCCATCTTTTACCTACTCAGGGGATCAAAAGTTTTAAGTATTTTCCTACTGGAAGTTACAGAATAATACATGAGCACATAATTGCCTAAAATAATACAGAATAATACATAAGCATATAATTGCCTAAAAGCCATAAAACCTACCATGGCAGCTGATGTTTTTGAAGTTTAGCTTAAAACATAAAATGATTACAGTAGATATTCTCTCCTATTTTTTTTTCAAACTTTTTAATTTATTTTATATAACCCACATTACTTAAAGTATTGCACTTACGGAAAGTTGGGTGGATCAAAAGCAGTCTTAATAACTCCAGCATATATGGCAATGATAGAAAGAATCACACAGGCAAGAAAGACCAGTGCAAGTTTGTTGACATACTTTACTCCTACAAAAACTACTATGGCCATCAGAATGATGATACATGTTCCATAAACTCTCATGTTGTTCAGCATAGCCTCTCTTTCTTCACCAACCTCTTCTGCTTTAAATATAGCAGCACTTGGAGAAATGTAGGTCTGCAAGAGATACAGCAAACTATGACACATATAATAAACATTAAGAAATAATTTACTTGAACTTCAAAATCTAAACTTCTTTTACAATATCAATTTTACTCTTTCACAAACCAGTTCCACCAGTTAACATAGGCTCAAGTATACAAGTAAAAGGAAGAGAGAAGTAAGGATAAAGAAAAATGATTTTTGAGAATGAGGTACTGATTTTGATCCAGCTTCTTCTCTCCCCTTTATGAGTTTCCACTCCTTCAATTCATTTCTCTACCAGACAGGAAAAATCATTGAAGACCTAAGGTTAGGGTCATTGACAAAAATTAAAAGAAAAACCAAAACCAAATCTAGTTCAAACACTCAAGTCAAACGAGATATCTCCTTGAATCATTTGCTGATTAATAATGCCATTGATTCAAACAAAAATATTGACAAACAAAAGCATAATAAAAACTCAGTACTATAGTCCCTACACTGTATTTCATACAAAAAAGGTACCTTAAACATCATACATTGTAAAATGTTTTATTGTGAGTCTACCTAAATTTTTAATCTGAAGTTGCAACTGCACAATTTAAGATTCATGTGACAAAGCTTAGTCCTGTGCTAAAACAGACAAACTACTGTAATTTCAAGCAAGATTCTTATACACATCTAAAAATCATGTTATTTTGTTCTGGGTTCTACTTGAAAACGAGCTGGAAACACAGCCCATAGGGCTTATATTGATAAACCCAAATGAAAAGACAAACTCTGACCTATTGTAGCGGACTGATTCATTGATTTTGCCTTAAACATTTCTTGTAATTTTTTACAAACTCCCAGGATGATCAGAAAACTGATGGAATGTTGCAGAGAGGCGATCTGATAAGGATGTAAATGCCTCAAACAGCCCTGGCAGCGAATATGTGAAGAGATTAGGAAATCTTGCAGGATGGCCTTATCTCTCGCATACCGTCCAAAGAGATGGGGCATTCACACATGTTGATGATGGGGCATTCGTACATGTTAATGAGAATTACTGGAAATGAGAATTAGTGGAAACAATGAAGGATCTGGATCCCCTACCTGACATTCTGCACATCCGCACATAGAAAATGGTGTATAAACTGAGGCAAGGTAAAGTAAAGTTGGGAAAAGGAAAAAGAAGAAGAAGAAGAAGAAGAAGAAGAAGAAGAAGAAGAAAAGAAAAAAGAAGACAACGGTCGATGCACCCTGAACTCTGCTTTGGCGGGACCAATGCAGGAACCTGGAGTAGTGATGTCTTCCTCTCTCTCACCCCACCTGCCCCTCTCTCTCTCCACTTTCCTCGAGAAGTATCTCTCTCACTTTTTCTTTTTCCTTTTCCTCACTAGGTAATGCAAGGTCTATCATACTGTTTATTTGGTTTTTTATGCCTAAATTTCTTTCTTGTGATGGTTAAGTGTAATATTGTCTGACTTAACATTGTGTTTAGATGTCCTTTATCAAGTTGTTGTAGCGCATTGCTTAAGTGCACTTAACATTGTGTTTAGATGTCCTTTATTACTCCTTGTTATTAAGTTGTTGTAGTGCATTGCTTATTTAGCCTTTCTCCTTGGTTTTTATTATATTGTCTGCCCTATCATGCTTTTGAATTAGAATTGATTGTCGTGAGCCCGATCTATACGTTTAAATTAATAAATGTTTGTGTTTGGGCCTTGAGACTTGTCTCACCGTTGTCCACGCCCTTGGTGTATTACGAATCTGAAAGTCACTTGTCCCTCTCTCCTGAGTGGGACGTGACACCTATAGTTCAGAGACATTTGTGTACTACACTACACGATAAAGTGTGATAAAGATATCTTTATTCCTTCTACCACCTCTACAAAAAAATCTGTGCTCAGCTATTAGAGGGGTTTTGGGGCTTGAGGCAAATCCACTCCTTCAAAACAACCGCTACACTGACTATCCTTAAATAATCTAACTTCTAAAGGCAAGAAGAAACTTTGGTATCTTGATATGTTCAGAACCAAAATCCAAAAATGAAAATAAGCAATTGTTTACTACAATTTTTACTTAAATTAACTAAAATTCAGTAAACTAATATTTACTAGAATGTTATGACATAAGAATCGTCACAGCACAATTAAAAAAAAAAAGAAGCAAACAAAAAAAATTATTATAGACAGAGTATTTACATATCATTAGAAAATCCTATATTGTAATGTTGCAGAAGTATCTGTATCGAGGTACTCCAGAAGATTTTCTTATGTGCTTTTTGTTGCCCTGCTATTCACAGTCTTCACTTGGGTTTGGCTGAAATAGAGTTAATATTCCCCATAGCAGCTCTCATAGCGCTGTGCTTTGCAGTGCTAGCTAGAAGGGTCTTGGTAACACACCAGTCTTTTAGTGGGGCTGGCTGGGTGTGGGCAAGATTTTGGGAGTGGATACAGCCAGGCCAGCTGACACAAACTGATCAAAGGGGTATTCCATACCATATGACGTCAGATCAGCTATAAAAATTAAGAAAAAGGAGGAAGATGCAGGAGCATTTGTTATTTACATTTGTATTCTGGAGTAACTGCTATGTATACTGAAAGCCTGCTTTCCCAGGAAGCAGCTGGGCATTGCCTGCTGATGGGAAGTAGAGAATAATCTTGTTTATCTCTGCTTCCATGCACAACTTTTGCTTTGCTAAACTGTTCTTATCTTGACCCAGAAGACTCTTGTCATGTCTTTCCTCTTCCCTGTCTATCTAAGAAGCCAAGAGTGATAGAGCAGCTTTGGTCGGCCTCTGGCCTCTAGAGAGGGCCAAACCACCACAGCTGGGAAAAGCCACACGTAGATGACCAATTTCTGCCCATCCAAATAATCCATGTTCCAGTAGAGAGAGAGGACAGAAAAAAAAAAAAAAATCAATATTTATGCCTTGTGGCTATCACAGGAGACTTCTGAGGTCTTCTGCCAGATATGACATCCTGGGAGGCTTTTTACTTCGAATTCCATAGCTGAACTCCATGCACATTTATTCGCAATACATAAAAGCAGCTCAAATAGGGAGAACAGTGCACCAAATCCAATTCACTATGTCACATGGTGCTAGTGTCGTTAATATAGGTCAGATCTCACAAGCTAGTTAACTATCTCTAATTTCAAATTTAGGCTTTTCTGAATATATGGCATGGGTCACAACATGAAAGAAGAAGAAGGAATTCTGAAGTATGTCCTGTGAATACATGCACAACGTCTGATATGCTGACCAATAACTGTCTGGTCTCCCCTAGATGAGACAAAGCAAAATTAGCTGGGCCATTGCCATACAGGCAGTCTTCCACAGCATCTTTACAGGGATATGAAATTTCAAAGTCAGTAGTCTGAAAATCAGGAAGTGGAAAAGATTCTTAATTCCTGCTTCATAGGATACATGTCCTTCATGTTCTCCATAACTTTTCACTAGGCAGCAGCTTTCTCCAATGCACATGGCAGTGCCAAGCATTTTGAAAGCTGAACAGCTTCCGTGGGTTATCCTGGGAATTCTTGCCTGATGACAAGCTCGCAGACTTTAATTTGCAAGGAGTCCTCCTAAGCCTCAAGAAAACATGGCTTAAAAGGACTTATGCTATACTTGCCTAGAGTACACAGCTCTTCCACCAGAAATGTAGAGACACCTAGCTGTGCTGACTGCTTAATATAAAGTAGTTGCCAGATTTAAAGTCTTATAATTAGGATCTCAAAATTGGAACAATAAAAGAGAAAATTACTTCCAGGAGACACAAAGTAAGTGAAGTAAGTGGAAGATCCCCTGAAGAGCTCACTAAAGGATTGAGAGCTCAAACACATATTGTTTAGGAAAAAATGAAACAAGATATATATTGCAAAGTTGCAGCAATACAACAGAAAAAGAAGTTGAAAAGACTAAAGATGGATAATAGGGGGCCGGTTAGCTCAGTGGTTTGAGCAGCGGTGCTGACAACAATGTCCGACATCTAGGTCGCAGGTTCGATTCCCGCTCGGTCCCCATGTGTTGCCTGGTCTAGTCGAGAGATGGTGTCCCTGCTCACAACAGGGAGCTTGGACTAGATGATCTTTAAGTAAGTCCCTTCCAGCCTAGGCCATTCTATGATTCTATGATAATATCATGAAATCCACAACCTTGTTAAAACTTGAGAGTGACAAGGAAAGGAACTAAAACCTTTTTGCATTAGATGAAAGAAAAAAAAGACTTCATTCAGAGTTGAAGAAAAGGGAGACTCCAAAGCAAAAAAGATAAACTGACTCTCAAGATGGAATCTTTAGCTTTTCAATTCCAAGTCTAAGGTGATCTAAAGGAAATACTATGTGCATATGCACATTTTTCTTTGGAAAAGAGGGGGAACATACAACACAAAAGCAGCATAATATATGGATCAAACATTTCTTAAGTTTGCTGTGGTGCACCATGAACATATGAAGACAAACATTTAAAAACAATTCCTTCACATTTGAAAATAAACTTTTATAAAATGACTTAAAATTTAAGTGACATTTCAGAGGCCCTGAAAATATGCAGTCGATTATGATTTAATCTCCAATCTAATGTGACATTTCATTAAAGACTGCACTATTTCTTAAGAACTTTCTGTTATTTTTGATACAGAAGTTGTAATTTTAAGTTGGTACAAAATCACCTAACGTCTCCAAAGTTTGCCTGTTGATACGCTATTCTTCCCTGTAAAATCTACTGATACATTTCCTGAATTTTTCATCTCCACGTTATATTCCCACTTTCATCCTACACCATTTGTTTTTGAATTTTAGGTATGTCTTTCTAAAATTAACATAGTTTTTCCTTGCAACTCTGTAGGTATACAGTAGCACAGGCATAATCTATGGGACATTTGGTATTCAGAACACGTCATGAAAATGTAACAACAGATATATTGCATCTGGTAAAAATTAGTAAATGTGAGCTACCAAATTCTGTTTGGTTCCTACTTTATGTAAACAGACTTTAATTTATTAGTGTATCGCTGATCAGATTTTTTGAACTTTTTTAGTAATGAGTAAAAATAAATATTGACATATTGCAAATATAGCATCAAAACTTAAAAACTACCGAACTAGAAACTATTTTAGATAAAGTGCACTACTCAATCTCCCCAAACAGCCCAAATACATCTAATCTTAAGAGAAACTAGTACTTACCAACAAAATTTCAATGGTACCAAGAATGTACATCGCTCCTGCAAAGGTTGTACCCAAGTAGAAACAAAGTCCCACTGCTCCACCAAACTCTGGCCCTAAAGATCTTGAAATCATGTAGTAAGAGCCTCCAGCTGTGAATTTAAGAAACAACAACAAAAAACACACACACACAACAAACTCCAGCCTTTTAGATTAAGGACGGCAGTTGAGAACAAAAATTTGGATCATTCAATCAACATTATCAAGACCACTACTGCATATATGTTCATTGAAATGTTCATACCAAAACTGTATTCAACTTCTATACCAACTAGGCAGTTAGAACGTACATTTCAAAGTGAATATACCCCTGTGCATTTTCTTGGGAACAAAAACAAACACCAAAGAAAGAGGGGAAAAAAATCCACAAACTAAATCTAAGTCAATTAAGAAAGGGATATATAAGTATAAATAAATGTGAACCAATCTTAAGTTTCTAACCTCAAGTTGTTCAGAATCAAACAACAAACTTCCAGTACCATTTCCTTGAGATGGGGACAAACTAGAATTTTTCTTACTAATATGCACTCTTTTTTGTTTTCTATACATGAAACCATTACCACTTCCAACACAGGCATTTTTTCAGTAGCTAGGAATTATTTTTTTTGTCTACTCATATGCTATTCACTTTACTCCCGATTTTTTCAATTCTTCTTATTCATATTTCCCACATACATACAACATATTTCCCTTTCAATATGGTTCTAAGTTTCAAGCTCTAGACCTTCCTCCTACCCCCTCAAGACAAATTCCTCGCTAGTTCCCTCTCCAACTTTTCTTAAATTCATAATGTTTTTCCCACTCAAGATAACTAAGGAACACAGAAGAGACAAAATGCTTTATTTTAAATAAACATACACCGGTTGTGTATAAAATTAGTCCACAAATAAGAAATACACTTCTAATCAAAGGGAGGAGTCTGAAACTGCTTTTCAATATAAGCAAATAAGAAACTCACAAAAAAGTTTATGACGCAACACTAATTCTTTTACTAAACAGAATGCCATTGCATATAACAGCGAGGGAAGATCCTGTCGCTCAGAACGTCTCTTTCAATCCTAGCTTCCTAGCTATGCTTTCTGCCTCTTCCATATATTGCAACAAAAGCAGAATGTCTCTAAGAAATTGGAATCAATAAAAAAAAAGGTAAATATGAAGACCTGCCTAGTGTAAGAACTGCCAACTTCAAAGATTTCTGTTACACTCGGATGTTAAGCAAAACCTTTTCAATGAGCTTTAAAAGATATGAGAGAGAAAAGAGCAAAATATTTTAGTTATTTGGGTACTGATTAGAATAACTACATTTAATTATAAAATATATTTGAAACAAATTTGCTACGATATTTATATTTCATATATGGTACTTTATCCATGAAATGCACAAATTGTAGCATTTACTTTTGCCCAACAACTTATATATCACTCCTAGAACCCCTTACTAAGCTGGAAAAGCTCTGCACGTGAGAAATCTTAATTTCATTAGGAAAACTGTTTAGAGTCCACAACAATATCTGAACACTGGTATTATCAATTAATGTGTTGAGAAACTGCAAAAAAGATAAGAGCTTCAAAGGCTAATTGATTTTGAATCTAAAAAAAAAATCAACATAACTAAAAAGGAACAAGCTCATCAATTTATTCTGAAAACGTAAGGAGATGAGCATAACCTAAAGTACTTACATAGCAAAATATTTCTGCTAGCAGATTGGCTACTATTCTTGCAGAAAACATAACTAGTTCCAGTGTTTAGAAATGGAGCACAAGTAAATTAAGACAGCGAAAATAAAAGCAGCCTTATTTGCAAATTTGTAAAAAGATCACAGAATCACTGAATTGTTGAGGCTGGAAAAGACCTCTGAGATCATCAAGTCCAGCCTATGACCCAGCACCACTACATCGGCCAGACCATGGCACTAAGTGCCACATTCAGCCTCTCCTTAAACACCTCCAGGGACTTTGACTCCATCACTTCCCTGGGCAGTGCATTCCAGTGCCTGATCACCCTCTCCACGAGGAAGTGTTTCCTAATATCTAACCTAAAACTCCCCTGACACAGTTTCAGGCCATGTCCCC